TTATTACTTCTACCATTTTGTATTTATTACAACTCAAAGTAACAATGTTGGTTCGTCTTCTCGGTCACATGATCGAGAAATGCAAGTTCAACGTGAGGAAATTGTTCGTACTATGTGGGAGGATTATATTAAAGACTAGTACTACAATTTATGTTCAATTTTTTTTTATTGAATTAAAGCTTGATCAATTGAAGTTAGATGAAACAACTACTTAAGTGGAGAACAAATAACTTTGTAATAATTTATTATGTGATTTTATAAATTTTTATTTATTTGGTAAGATTGAATAAACAATTGGGGCTATTTCAATAGTTTTACAACTTCTAGGATTCTTATGTTTATGAGAAAATATACAACACAAAAATTCCATATCGCATGTCTAAACAAAGCTTCAATTTCATCCCATGATTTCATATGATGATTCCATATTGCATGGCTAAACGGGCCCTAAATAAATTCTTACATTAAGATGTTGATATTTGATCATTATAATCTGTTTGTCCTTGATCTTCAAATAAATTTCAAATTTTAGGTTAAACATGTAAATACACATTAGTTATACGTAATTTAGTATATATTTTTTCTTTTAATTTGATAATTTTTATCACTTAAACATAAATCAACTTGAAATAGAAAATTTAAACCAATAAGAAAATAATTCTACTTTTATTGGAGCTTAAATAACACACCGACCATTTTTGAAAAAGATTATGAGGTACAATTAGGTCGAATAAACCCCTTTGTAAAAAGTATTTGATTGCTTGTGAACCTTTGAATACTATTTTATTCAAAATTTGTTCAATTGATTTTTTTACCTGCAAATGCAATGTAGGCACAAGAGTCGGCAGAAATAATACCGGCCATAGGTTTTCTAAGTAAAATTTGGCAAATAGTGTTTGTCCATACAATTTGTCATTATTTGGCAAATAATTCAAATTTTCAAATACTAGTTTTTTCTAGTATTTGGACCAAAATCTCATTATTTGAGAACTTTTAATAATTTAAATTCTACACCAAACTTTTATTTTTTACAAGAACGCCATCTATAGTAGTTGTTTGCGTTGTTTTATATAATTTTTTACGTGAACATCAAAGTAGTGATGGAATATTCAGTGACTATGAAAGTGATGATATGGTTATTGATGAAAATGATGAATAATCGACTTAGGGTAACAAAGTCACGTGCTATGTAATACAAACTTATGATTAGTTTTGACAATTTTTAAAACTTATGCGTATAGATCATATTTCTTAAAAGGTGAAATATATTTCCCAATATTATGGCCAAACACATGGTGAAATTTCACCAAATAATATTTGTCAAAAATAATTGAAAATCTATGACCAAACTCTAGCTAAATCTCATTCCACAGAAGTCGTAGATGTAAAGATTGACACATAAAATAACATTTTATTTAATTAATCATACTTCCCATAAATCAACTTGAAAAAGAAAAATTTAAACCAACAAGAAAACAATTCTTTTGCTTGAAATGTACTAAACCGATAAAAAAAAAAAGATGGAGTCTTTAATCCGTTTAACATTTTAACACAAACAAATTAAATAATTAAGGTGTCACCTTTATGATTTGACTAACCTTATATCTGACACGTATTAAAAGTAAAATTTTAACCTAAGAAAAAACAATTGCATAAATTTGAAGTTTTAGAATTGATTGAAAGGTCATTGCTAAAATGATCACTTTACTCGTTCAGGTGATTTATTGACATAACATCTTTACTCGTACCTACCACTTTCGAAAGGACCTAGCATAGAGTCTATTAATATTTGAGCTTTATTTTGACTAAAACTCCAACTTATAACTTTTTCTATTTTAACAACGGATTCTTTTAAACAAGAGGGGTTGCTCATATGGTTATAAGTATCTTATATTTACGATCTTAATATTATGAATCTAAGTCACTGAAAAAATAGTAAAGTGAATGAAATCGCTATTTGAGATGTCACGATTTAAATGATAATATTACGAATTGGGATGCTAATTAATATTGAGGCTATCTAGTTAATTATATTTTCTCTACCTCTTACGCAAGTCAGACTTTGCAACTAAAGTGAACAAATTGTGCAAAAAGCATAGTCAAAAAGGTCTTACATCACATCCATTTCCCAAAGTGAGCCTAATTACTTACCTCCCAATTCATTTATTTTTGTTTTTTCGTTTGGTATTTATATTGAAGTTTAATTATTTTAGAGTCGTAACGCATATGGTTTTATTAGGAAACACTTTCTATCAACAACTTTTTATATGCTTGAGGCTCAAAAATTGAAAACCTTAAGTAAAAGAGGAACAATTTCATTCATTGCATTATATCCTTTAGTGGTGGTACCAAGCTACCAATTTTATTGTGAACTATCTTTTATAAAATACACTGCGCTTATATTTTAAATTTATTTTTGTACAATTTCAAGTTGGTAAAAAGTTCACGGGCACATCACTAGTTATAAATTAGGCTTGTTTCATGTGTCAAAGTTCGAATATTATTTCTACCTCAAGTTCAAGTAAAAATAGTTGATCTTCAATCATATATGCATAAATTTCAAGAAAAAATGACTGTATTTAGCCATAGGTCCTTTAGACACCCATATATCTTAAATTATTTTGAGACTTTGCAACTAAAGTGAACAAATTGTGCAAAAAGCATAGTCAAAAAGGTCTTACATCACATCCATTTCCCAAAGTGAGCCTAATTACTTACCTCCCAATTCATTTATTTTTGTTTTTTCGTTTGGTATTTATATTGAAGTTTAATTATTTTAGAGTCGTAACGCATATGGTTTTATTAGGAAACACTTTCTATCAACAACTTTTTATATGCTTGAGGCTCAAAAATTGAAAACCTTAAGTAAAAGAGGAACAATTTCATTCATTGCATTATATCCTTTAGTGGTGGTACCAAGCTACCAATTTTATTGTGAACTATCTTTTATAAAATACACTGCGCTTATATTTTAAATTTATTTTTGTACAATTTCAAGTTGGTAAAAAGTTCACGGGCACATCACTAGTTATAAATTAGGCTTGTTTCATGTGTCAAAGTTCGAATATTATTTCTACCTCAAGTTCAAGTAAAAATAGTTGATCTTCAATCATATATGCATAAATTTCAAGAAAAAATGACTGTATTTAGCCATAGGTCCTTTAGACACCCATATATCTTAAATTATTTTGAAATAAATAGACTTACAAATTGTTACACACTAAACAGTTGTGTATGAGAATGTTAGTTTTTAACTTGGACAAGTTATGGAAGATACAACACTTTCTTAAGTGGAGTATTATGTTTCTTTATAGTTAAAAATATAATAATTATAATGTATGGTTTATTCCGCTTCTAATTATTAATTAAATAGTTGATACCTCGTGATTATGGATAAACACAATTTTGGTATTAAAGTGGCTTTAATTATTGTCTCATGCCGCAAAGCCCCGTGATGGGGTCCTAATTCATTATTTGTCCCTTCTATAACTTTTTAATTTTTTTTTTAATTTCATAGTAGTATAATCTTACTTTAACTAGAAGATAATTGACAGAAACCTTAGTTTAAATGTGTAATAATTATATAAACCACAAATTTTACTAATGATTAAAGAGGAATTGTCCCTGAAAACAAGGGGATCGGACTTAATAACTTAATTCTTCGACCCATTTGACAATTAACATCCATGTAATAATAATAAGATTTACAATCAAATATTTATAATCGGCTCATCCAATAGCGTAGGAATATATATTAGAGTTTCAATTTTCCACTTAATTTTTTTCTAACATCATCAAACATAAAAATAAGAGTTTCATAGATTACTTTTAATTAGGATTAGGGCTCCACATGGAGAAAATGACGATGAAAATCTCAACTTTATTTCTTTTTACCAACTTTATTCTCTCATTATTTGTCTTCTTTTATCTCCTTTATTAATCTTGAGATCTACTAGCATATTCTCATACTCAATTAATTCATTTAAATTTGTTTGTCCATTTTAAAAAGAGAAACTCTTTATTTTTTTTAACTTTTTGATTCGAATTATTCATACGACATATTTAAAAACATAAAATTAAAAAATATTTTGATACAATTTTTATATCTTTCATTTAAAATCACAAGATTCAAAAATCATTTTTATTTTCATAAATTTCGTGTTGAATAAAAACTGACAAATAAATTAATACGAAGGAAAGTTCTTTTCTTGTTTTGCAAGTCTTATACATCAAATGAAAAAAAAACTCCGGCTAGCGGGCCATGTTAAAGAGGCATCTAAGAACATAAATATCAAGCAAAAAAAATAAAATGTAAAGTGTACTACTCAAAAGATCTAAAAGTTTATAACATAGTCGCCTTCGTTAAAAGTACTTCACTCAAAAATTGTCCAATGCAATTCTCTATTTAATCGTATTCCATTAATATGAATATCATAAATTAAATAAGACATAACACCTAAATTGATGTACGTAAAAAGATTCATCAAAAGAGTAATTATCTATACCCTCCGTCCATCTTATGTTCAGTATACTAGAAATAGTTGTCCAAACAAAGAAATAATTTACCTTTTTATATCTATTTTATCCTTGTTATTAAATGCTAGTCAATATCTAATACATTTTTCAAATCTTTAATATATACAAAGGATAATATAGTAATAGTGCTCTTGTTAGTTATTGTTATTTAAGGTATGTGTCAAATCAATCGTGAACAATTATTGTTGGACAATGGGAGTACAATTCTAGTAATCATTGGTTGAGACAAGCTTGAACCATTGAGATTGAGGGTTATCAATACTTTTTCCATCTAAGCCAACACATTTCCTAACCAAAACTTTGTTAGAAGAAGAATTAGTGTCAAAATCCAAACACAACTCTTTCTCATTCTCATCAATATTTGAAAGTTGATAATTTGAAGCAAGTTTCCATCTACTTTTTTCATTATTATTGCAATCTTTTGAGAGTGTCAAAGGCATGCCCTCCCTTGATGTTGTTAAACATGAAGAAGTTCCCCTTAATCGGATCGGCGTTCCGTCTCCGTGGTAGATCCACCGGCTAGCTCCGATGCAACTACTTGCTTGTACTACATTGTTGGTTGCAACATTCAAGCACTTGCCACTTTGTGGATGGAATAATAAGTAGTATTTTGGTTTCTTTGATTTTGGATCTAAAACATTCAAAAAGAAAGAAAAAGAGGTGTTAAATTAAACATAATGCAAGGACTTTAGTTACATGCATGGTCTAACAATGGATTTCTACATTAATATTATTAAGTGAACTTTTAACATGTGACAATATGACATATACATTACTAATTATTACTCATCATAAAGATTTAATGATAATGTGAGTATGTGTCTAACTCGCATGTACTCTACTAATAGAGTGATTGTATTAACTTTCAAAATCTGTTTATTTTGAAAAGTACTTTCTGTCAATAATGTTTTTCAAAAATATGGTTTCAGAGAGTTGTAGTTTGTGTTTAATCAACTAATTTGAAATGTGTAGCATCAATTTCCACATGGGAATCTTTTTTGGAAAAAAGTAGTTTTGAGGGAGAAACATATCAATTTTCTAAAACATTTTTCAAAACCCACCTTTTTTCTCTTAAAAGATTAGCCAAACACCTAGTACTATTGTTTTTAGAAAAAAACACTTCTAGCTTCTAAGAAACTTGCAAAATAGGTAGATAAAAGACAACATAAAAAACTATTTACATACAATCAGATCACTTAAAAAATAGTAAGATATAACCATTTATAAAAAAGTGTGATTACCTATAACATTAGACAAATTATATGTTATAACGTATTAAAATACACTAAAAGTGTAAGAGAACATTTACCTTGGGGTTTTTGTTGAATAAGTTGCAATTTTGCACGATATTGAGGACTTCTAAGAGAATTCCATGTATTATTCAACATCCCAAACGGTTCATCCATACCCGGTTTACCTTGTCGGGTATAATAATTACCTTGCAAGGCCCAAACGGCCCAATCCAAATCCAAGTCCACTAAGAATGTGAGCAAGCAACCCATAAACAAATTGCCAGAAGGGTTCATTCCCTTTTGGTCAGCTCCAAATTCACTAACAAATAAAGGTGCTGCATTTTTACCCTTAAGTAAAAATCCTGATTTATTCATAATCTCTTTCTTAATTGTATCACAAACCTTGTTTAGTGGTTGAGTTAAGAACCAATTAGCTTGTCCCTCGGTAAACGCGTAGCGATGAATCTCATATACGATTTTATTTCTCATGTTTAATAAGTTCAAAGGCTTTCGTTTTAGAAAGGTAAAATCGATATCGTAATTTAATCCTGATATGATTATTAGAAGATTAGGGTTAGCTTTATGAATTGTTTTTGCACCTTTCTTGACATTTTTGTACCATACACTTTGGTTTTGAAGTGGACCACGTAGCTCGTTACGTAGACTTATGCCAATAACCTAGATAAAAAATAGTAAATGACAATCAATAACAACTTTATGGAATAATTCAAGAATATGAGAAAAGGGCTAACTAAGAAATTACCTTAACGATCGATAATTCTACTACTACAACACCCGTTTTTTTGCGAGCTGAAAATCTCAGGTGCTTACTTTTCAAATCTCTTATGTTCAAAATGTAACACGAATTGAGGTGTATTCCTTTCTCAACTTTCATCTATTGGTCTAGTCCCTCTTACTACATATATGTTTTTATTTCTTGGGTAATGGTCGGGTCTGCGTACATTCTACCTTCCTCATATTCCACTTTGTGGAACTATACTCGGTATATTGTCCGTAATATATTAAAAATCAATAAAATAAGTAAGAGTAAAACATACCATTGGTAAATCCTTGTATTTTTTAGCAACAATATCCAACCCTTTTAACCATTCTTTAGGTTGAAAATCCTCATCTCCCCAAAATCCATTCCCATCATGATTCCCACAACACCACATGGGCTTACTAAGATGATTATCAAGAACAGACATAATACCATGACGGCCCATCTCTTCAATCACAGCCCTTTGGGCTTTAAAAACAGTAAGGCCCAAAAGTTGTGGATTCTTTTGGGCTATTCCTGATAGAGCATCATGAAGACCATTGTTAACAAAAGATTGGGCCACAGTAAGATTTGAATATCGAGTGAACATATAAGTAGCCCATGTAAGACGAACACAATTGAAGCCCATTAAGGATATGTGGTTAACAATATTGTTAATGGGCTGTTGATCTAGGCCTTCTGGTAACATGGTTTGTAAATGGGCCACCCAATTTACACAAGCTAATTTCACTCTTTGACCATTTTCATCATCTATTATCCATCTAGAACTTGTTGATAAAGGTAAGCAATGAGAAAAGGTTGCAAAAGTGCAAAGAAAAATATAAATTGTGGCTAATTTTGCCATTTTTTTTGTTAGTAGTGTAAAGAGAATTAAGAGAAGTAAGAAGAATTGATGGAGTTCATACATTTATAGGAGTAATTAGTGTTGATTTGATGGGATAAAACAAAATTTGTTTCAGAGAAGACCTCCTTGTTTTATCTATTGAGAATTATGTTCAAATTATAAATAGTAATAGTGTAAAAGAATGTATGTTGCATCATGTTACCAAAAAAGATAAATTTAGGTAAGTTATAGGTAGTGTATTGGGGGAAATTACCATGCAAATATAATGCAAATCCATTGTTTAAGCTTCCGGAATCGTTGCATGCTAGGTTTACTTGCTCTTATCTCGTGAGATATATTCGAACTGATTTGTATATGTTACGCAAGACGTGTGTGTCTATCTGTCCAACTTACTGATGTAAGTGTCTACCGCTGCATATCCAAAGTTGAAAGCATAAATACTACACGAGGCTAAGTTAAATATCATATTTATATAATATGTCTTTCTTATAATATGTAACAATAGCACAACCATTGATGATAATATCATGTACTAAACAAGAGCAACTAATGGCTCCCATGTATCTTTGCTTTCATATAATTTAACTTCTATTTCCAATTAAAAAAAGATTTGATACTCCTTTCATCCATTTTTATTTGTCGATTATTTATTACAAATAAATGTCCTTTCATCCCCTAAATTCCTAATTTCTTTCTATTATTGATCTTAGTTATTCTTCAAAATATTAAATTTATTGATATAAAATAATGTGTCTAATTAATTTTAACGAATGAAATAATATTGTTTATTTGAAGAAGGCATGCCAAAATTCATAGCCAATTGGAATTCTATATATGAAGGGAATAATATGAGGTTGTAATTAATTTCCAAAATATAAGCAGTGGGACCAAAAAAACTAGTTTAAGAAATCTTTCTCAATTTCTTAACAGCCAAGCTGTTGCTACGACTTTTTATTGTCGGTTTGGACGGAGAGATTTGTGTTATTTATATTTACAATAATAATATATTCAGTATAAGTTTATCAATCAAATCAAATATACAAGATCTATAAATCTGAATAGAAAAATTATTTTTAATAAACCATTAAATGAGAAGATTTTTTCTTTTTTTTTTGTTGGTTTCCAATTAATAATATTCATATATATTTTGAAATCCGACTAATTTAACCTACCATCTAAAACATTTACTTAATAAAGATTTTTCTATCACAAGCAATCCAGAAGATGAGAAAATGAATAAATCCAAAGATCTTTCTAGTTCCCCCGACGAAGCATTAAATATTTTTTCATGCTTAGATATAATAATAATAATAAAAGTATATATATATTATTGATACATAATTCAATTCAACTTGTCTTATTCATTTTCAAAAAATAAAAAATAAAAAAAATACCACGTGTGATCGTTCTTTTTGAGAATTTACAGATTTTGCATTATATAAAAATCTTCTATAAATTATTAAGTATATTGGTTTTCCACTATCTTATATTCTAATGAAATTTCATGCTAATTATTCTATAGTGCCTTAGTTGATCTGCACGTAAATTGCTTATAATATAAAGTACTATGAATTAAATGACTACACTCCATGGTTTGACCTCCTTCGTTAAGAAAGCAAATAACTTGTATTTTTTTTATCTACTCTACTAGTCAAGTTAGCAATTGATATATTTACCCTTTTTTTATTCGATATCTGATAAAGTATGTTTTTTGAGGTTCGACTAATTTAAATTTGTATTAAAACTTCCTACTCTATTATAGCCCATAAACTAAATAAATGGAAGTAATTGAAATTAATGAATTTCTAAGTATCTTGATAGATAAAGATGGAATAACCTATCAAAAATTTAAGATTCAAGTCTCGAAATGAATAATTTTTTAATAAGATCATTTTACTCTTTTTAGTAAATTTATCTTATGTGAATTTAAATTATAAATTAATATCTTTAATACTTAATAATTACCTATCCTAAAAAAAAGAAGAAGATGAGACTCTTGAGTCTTCTAGAGTAAAAAAAGTCTCCTTTATTAGGGAACTAGAGGGGCGTGGCCCGTGCTAGCACGGGCCCAACACTCTCACAAGTAATATTTCTTTTATAAAAAAAAAAGTATCCCTCTTCTCCATTTCTCTTCTCTCCCTTTTTCCCAAGTTCTAGCTTGAATTGGAGACATATGTCATTGTTTAAAATTAATTATTGAGATATAATTGATTAAAGTAAAGCCCTAACCATAGTTATTTGCTTCCATATATTTGCTTCTTAAATATTTTTGCAATCCAAAAATCCTAGATTTACATTATATTTTTCCTAAATATATTTAAAAGAATTTCTTTTCTTAATTACTTGAGTAATTTTTTTGCTGATTTTAATTTTTTCCCTAACGTTTGCCATTCTCAAATAATATTTGTCAAATAAAAAATTATAAATTGTGACCTAACATTTTTTTTTTCTAATTTTAGGAGTAAAATAAATTTTTTCACTCAACTTTAAATTCTTTCTTACTCCCTAAATGGAGTCCATATTGCTCTATAGACATTGTAGCTCTTAATACTCTATTAGAATAATAAAAACGTTTAACTTTATTGTAATTTTTTCAAAAAAGTAAAAATATTTAGTAAAAGTTTTATATGTATATGCAGGGCAGTAAATAATTTTTCTAAATATATTTAGAACAAATATAATGGATTGCAAAAATATTTTAAACTATGACATGTGTCTCCAATCCAAGCTAGAACTTGGGGAAAATGGAGAGGAGCTGGATCCAAAAATAATAATAGTGACGGTAACAAAAATTAGTAAAGCTTACATATCTCAATGAACTATATAATGTAACAAAGGAGGCATTATAATTAGGAGCTGCTAGAAGCAAATTACACACGTCACATGTCTTCTTGGTTAACTTAACTTTTGTTGAACAATTATTGTACTTGTTTACATAAGTCAATCTTGTAATGACAATTCTAGCTGGATAAAACAAAGAACAACCTTCGTAGAAAAAGTGTAAAATACTTAGATCTAAGTGAAAAAATATCACAACCTATTACAAGAAAACTCAATGTTGCAACATGTATACCAATTCATATGCCATCGTCACACTTCATATGGCTTCAAGCCGTGACCATAACCCAAGTGTTTCTTGCGCAGAGACTGAAAAACACAAAAATGCACAAGTGAAAAACACAATTTTACCAAAATATAAGCATGCACTGCCACATGAATGTCTTTTTTGAAGATAAAAATTACATTGAAAAGTTATCTCATTCTAATAATATTTAGGGGTCGTTTGGTTTGAATTCAAGTTATGATGGGATTAATTATGATGGGATAAGTTATGATAAGATTATTTTTTTATTGAGTGTTTGATTTGTTGTATTCAAAATATTTTAACAATTTATTTTTTTACAAAAATGCCCTTCATGAATATAAAAAGTAATGTATAAAAAGGGTTGATAGAGACATTTTTGTCATTTACTTATTTTATCTTTAATCCCTGGTATTATACTTCACACCAAATGACCCCTCAAGTTATTGATCTAGAAATAAAGAAAAAATAAGCAAATGAGATTTCGAAGAAAGCAAAAATTATTTATGCATTACTATATTATAAATTTATTCAGCTAGATAAATGGCTAATCAATGAAAAAACTTATGAAACATGTATATCTAGAAAAATTATTCTCCGAAAAGAGGCAGAGATTGAGCAAGAGAGAAGAATTACCGTCTCTCAACAACCTTAGACTCTTCTGATGTTTTACTCTCAGAATTCTTCTTTGTACTCTTATTTAAGTAAATCTTCTCATTAGAATCATCACCAATTGTCATGCAAATGATAGGCAACAATTACAATTTTTCATGTTCAAAGTGAAAATTCAATTTCCTTCTTTTCTTCTAACACATAACGCCAAAGAAAAATAAGTTGCATAGCATGTGGATCTAGTAACAATTGTTATATCATTATTTTAACAGAGTTATACTTTGAACAATATTATCGAAATACCCACATCGCTTAGAGCTAGCATATTTGTATTCCGTATCTTCCTTACAAGCTCATTTGCAGTGATAATAAAAGATTAGATGTAACCAGATATCAGTGTTTACACTGGATATCGAATCACATGAAATCTTCTTACAGAAAGAAGTAGAGTTTCCAAGAAATGCACAGCAAGTCATAGGAAGAGTAGCATTTGCAAGTCCGACTCAAACTGAAGTAAACAGACTTTAAAAAGGCTGAAAATCACAAGTTTTTCTTATTTCAGTCGGAAACACTTACTTTGAGGAAATGCATGAGAGAGTTTCCAAAATCAACAAAAAAAGCCTTCATAATGACCACGCCATGCTCCCTGCCTCGAAAAAGAAAGCATGTGGAGTAACCTTGAGCCACATTCATGAGGAAAATGTAGTGGTTCAAGGTTCAAAAGAGTAGAATCGCCTCTCTGTGACCAGAAAACAGTATGTGACATACCTCCACTTTTAACTTCTGCAATAAGTTTTCCGCTATCAATGTAATAGATTATGTTTCCAGCATACTGCCACTCAACTGTAGGTCTATTCATTCTCTTAACTAATGAAAGAATTCACCGCCTGCCTTAGTAATTTCAAATATGCCATTAACAGAATTTACATTCTTCATAAAGGCCACCAAAAAGAGAAAACAATAGGCACATACTGACATGTGATAACATGAATAGAGTAAATTTAAGAATGATATTATTTTGGAAAACTTCACAACCCACTCATGTATAGAGCAAATACCAAGATTTAGTACAAAGAATGGGTAATACAACAATAATAAAAAACATAAGATTTTTCTTTTGATAACTGTAAAACTAAGTTCAAGATTTTACATCTGCAAAATTCAAAAGAGAGTCGAATAAAGTTGCTATCTTTAGGACTTGCTAATTTTCATGCTAAAAAAAGAAATATATCTCTAAGAAATCATGTCACATTGAGTACCCAATAATTCAATATGATATTTGTAGGAATAGTTTTGTTGTATTTAAGATCAATTTTATTTTGAAAATCCCAATTCAATGTTTCTTTTGACATTCAATTTAGGTCTATAGCACTGATGGATGATTTGTTGGGGGAAATTTTTAATGTCACAAGTATAAATAAAATGGAGAAGAAAATACCAACTCTATGACAATCAAGAAGTGACATCTAGTGGCAAAGAGAAGTACAAACAACCTTAACATGAATCTCCATTGCAGGGAAAAAGTATATTAAGCAACTTAAAAAAGTGAATAAAATTTGTGGAGTTAATTCTCTTAAAATTGTCGGAAAAAAAGAGTGAATAAGGTTCAATGTTTTATACGTAGTTTATGGAGAAGAAAAATAGTACACATCATTAATCATAATGCAAAAAACATGTTTCTATTGAGAGACGGCAATTACAAATTTAGGTTGAATTAATCAACAATTTTAAGGCAAGTGTTTCTATAACTTTACATTAAAATTAAGTTGCAAATCTAAATTTTGAATATACATCCATGTATGTAGGTGTTAGTAGGGGTTGAAGCAAATAAATAGGCTACATGTAAATGGTCCCTTATATAGATTCACCAAGATGGTGAATAACTTAAATAAGGATTGTGCTTGTGGTTCTTTTTTTTCTGTGCTATTCATGTTGATACGGCAGGCATGGTTGCAAGAGTTTGAAGCAATTGAGGGTTCTCTGCATGGAGATGCTAATATGGAGGGCGAGTGGGGAAGATGAATCTGAAACAGAGCACACAGAAACTCAATTAGTGTTTTGCTTCATACTAATGACAATATACATACAAATTAAGGTGGGGATTCTGTACATTACCTTTATTTGATTTTACTTGTGTCCAATCTAGTCAATTTTCGAAAAATAAACTGTTAAAAAAAAAAGGAAAAATTTAACCCACACAAAGATAAATGACGAAGAGCTCTCCGACCAACCAGAAATAAAGACCAATTTGTAGCAAAGGTATGCAACAATCTGCAGAGAAAGGAGAGGGAAGCAGGGGGAGAGAAGTCAGGAAAAAAATGGATTAGTAGAAGTGAAAATGAATGGGGAAATTAGTTGTCTCAACACAGATGTAATACGTGTCTGCCGGAAAAAAAAGCTAGTGAACTCAAATGCCTACACGTTGCTAAGCGAGAAGAAATAGAGAAATAGAGTGGGTCCAAATTCATAGTACAATTTACATTACTTTAAGTACAATAATGCGATGCTGTGTTCGTCCTATCAAGTCCCATTTCTATATAGGAGTAATATTTACTCTCAATATAAAACTTTCTAATACGAATTTAAATTTAATCAAAATTTAATATAAATATCGAATATAATTTTCTTTTCTTAATAAAAAAACTCTGACTTCATAAATCATAAGTTAGATGGGAGTATTAGTTGGAAAATAATGACATTAAAAATATATGACCTAATATTATCACCTCGAAATTATCAATTTTGTATAGTACTATCACGCTCCCATTTTGTCTTTACATTTTTGGTCCTTCTAGTATCTTCCATTTTCAATATGAAACTAATCAGCTGCCACGCCGATAAAATCAACGGTCCAGATTCTTTCTTTAACATATATACTAGAATCTCTCTTCCCTTCTCCACAAAGGAAAAGGAAAATTGTCTTTAGCCCCTCAAATATTGACAAAATATCAATTTTGATCCCTACAAATACAATAGTGTAAAATTGTACTTGTGTTTCTATAAACCTACAAAGGAAATGAAAAAAATGTGATTTTTGTATTTGTCTGAATTTTGTTTTTATATTATTCGATATATGTGTTGATTGATTCAAAGTAATATGTCATTTGATTAATTAATCAAGGTATGAATAAGTTGTTTGTTTAACGTGAACATATAGTTTAGTTTAATTAAGGAATTTGTAGTTTATATTATAGGTTCAATATTTAAATCAAGCGAATCAATTCTAAATTTTAAGTGGAGAAATAAATTGAGTTCACCGAACACATAATGCTCGACTCAATTGATTAATTACTGCATTCTTTTCATGTTTAATTTTGATATGCATAACTTGAATCAAAGACCTATCAAAAACAGTAACACTATCTTCATAAGGTAAAGACAACACTAAGCACACACACCACCCTTTTCAAGACTATTTGGAAATTGATTCCAAATTGACATAACACACGCAGCATTGCACGTAAGCCACAATTTGTCATGTATGTCACATAGAACACACATGTTTTTTTTATGCAAGCTAAAAAGCCTTATTTGTGTATACCGAAAATTGAAGATATAAATATCAATTGAAACCAAGTTAAAAAATCATGTTTTATATATTATACTCTATGAACACTCCAACATTTAAAAAAAAGGTTATTTTTTAAATAATAAAAAATGAAGGACACAAATAACATTTACTAATAATCAAAGGACTAAAACCGAAAATCATACATGTATAAAATCCACCTACAGATTCATTGTAGCACCAAAATACTCTCCATTTTTCTCTCTCAGAATCGCTACAACTTTTTACAAAAAACAGTATATATACACTCACCGATTTTCAAGGGTTTTTTCTCTGAAGTTATGACGGAACACGAGGAGCACAAAGTGGAGAAAGAGGAGCAAGATGAGTCACTGATGGACAAAATTTCTGAAAAACTTCACTTCAGTAATCATTCATCGTCGCCGGCACCGGCGTCGTCTTCTTCTGATTCCGATGATGAGAAGAAAAAGCCGACGTCGCCAGCACCGGAGACGTCGTCGTTTGGGTCTAAAGTTCGTCGGCTTTTTGGTAGGGAACGTCCAGTTCATAAAGTCTTCGGTGGTGGTAAACGTGAGTTTTCGCTTTTTTTACTTCAGCTCTTTGTTGAATATAAAATTGAACTAGAAAGGATCTGGTTGGTACTGTTAATTTTTTAAAGTAAAAGTTTGATTTACTTTGCATCTGTGAATGAATATTCAGCTCTTTTTTTTTTAGTTCTTTTTTATCAATGAATAGACTGAAGATCCCAAATTTATGAATCGTTGACTATGAATGAAAGAGATTGTTGCTGGTTAACAAAGTGGAACTTTCAGTTGATTGAAGCTTCATAGTTCGATTGCTACTTAATTTGCTTTTAAAATATTTTTGGTGTGTGTTTTTAGTTCTATATGCCTATTGTTTTTAGATCTGGATCTGTATGTTAGTCCAATAGTTTAGTTTCAAGGGAGTGTAAAAGTCTCTGCTTTTTGTTTAGTGTAGTTGGTTAAAATGAAATCACTCAATTGCTTCCAATTAGGGTGTAGTTGGTTGATTGATGTATTACTTTGCTCAAGAGATTGGCTTGTAGTATCATATTTGAGTTGATTGTGATTTTTCCTCTTTTGGTTTGATTAAAGTTTTAAGCTTTAGCACAATTTTTCTTAGTCTACCTCCTTTTAGTGTGTTTTTGGGGGTAGGGATGGTTTAAGTTGTAAGAAGGTTAATAATTAGTTTGAGGGAGGAAAAAATGTTGGATATTTGGATCACATTTTGTGAACCTAGTGCAAATGAGTGGATTTGATATTTGAGGATTCATATATAGCTGATACAACTTGATTATTGTATGGAATTAGAATTCATGTGGTATTGTTTTGGTGGTGCAGCTGCTGATGTGTTCTTGTGGAGGAACAAGAAGATATCTGCAGGATTTCTCGGTGGGGCGACAGCTATCTGGGTTCTCTTTGAGGTTGTAGAATACCATTTGCTTACCCTGCTCTGTCATGGTTTGATGGTTGCTCTGGCTGGATTGTTTTTGTGGAGCAATGCTAGCACTTTCATTCACAAGTAAATTACTCTTGCTGTTCATACTTAAATGCTACAACTTTTTAGAGGATTGGTATATCAGACATTGACTAGTTTTGGATCGAGGGATAGTTGATGGATAGTTGGATTGATAGATGTTTCCTTTGCCCTTTGTAGGTCTGCACCACATATTCCAGAAGTTCACATCCCCGAGAAACCTGTTTTAGCGTTTGCCTCTGCTCTTAGGAACGAGATCAATCGTGCCTTAGCAGTTCTGAGGGAAATTGCTTCTGGAAGGGATCTGAAGACGTTCCTTTTGGTGCGTCTCTCCTTACATTTAAGGATACAGTTTAGTTTCAATATCTCATTTATTGGTATTACATTTGGGGTGTGCTGTTCCATCTTTATATAATCTTGTCAACTCCTTCAGGTCATTGGTGGTCTGTGGCTCGCATCAATCTTGGGCGGTTGCTGTGATTTCTTGACCCTGTTCTACATAAGTAAGTAAACTTGTTCACTAAATTTAGATGCAACGTCTGAGATATGAGATTGATTGTGTAAATTTCTTGGAACAGTTGTTGTGGTGCTTCACACAGTACCTGTTCTGTATGAGAAATATGAGGATCAAGTGGATGCATTTGCAGAGAAAGCCTTGCACGAACTCAAGAAACAGTATGCTGTCTTTGATGCAAAGGTATTGAGTAAAATTCCTCGAGGGCCATTGAAAGATAAGAAGAAAGATTAGACGCGCACTATGTTGGGAGGAAGAGGGGGGTGTCTTGTTGTGTTATTATAGATGCATCTTGTGCTTGTCATTGTGAATCTTGATACAAGATGGTGGAAGTTTGTTTTAGGTTCCACGGTTTTGTGTTTTAAGATCGTGGAATTGATGTTGATGTATGAATGATAAATGACATGGAAATACTCTTTAAATGTTTGATTATTTGGTTGTTTTGTACGTCATTTTTGTTATTTATCTTCTCTTGTCGGTTAAATCGATATAGGTAGGGCAAGTTAGTGATTAGGTAAAGATGTTTGTGGGATTTTCTTTACGTGGTCCGCACTTGTCCACATGCTGAGATGGTTTAGGTGCCCAACTGAAGCTAAAATCCAAATGGCAGTATTTTGATGGAGGACTGAATATCTTTAAGTTGATAAAGACTTTGCTATGACAATTATTGTTCCTCTTTTTTCTCCTGAAATTGATTTTCTTTTTTACCAAGGAAAGGATATTGTTAGTTTTCTGTTATCTTTTTATGTGTTAATTAATAATTCATCAGCTAATAATCTGAGCGATATATTTGTGCTGAAAAGTATTGAGGTTTTTGAATGACACTACAAATAATGGCAAATTGGTGCCTCATGCCATCGATGGCAAACACTTGCAGCGTCTACTTATATCAATCTGGATTCTGGTCCTGTATGAACTTACTTTGACAAGGTATAAAAAGCTTGATGTAAAAATAATACGTCAAGCAAATAATTGCAGAAATACATGGTATTGCAAGAAAGTATTTTTATCTAAAAAATTCTTTCAACACACACCACTGTCAATTTGTTGAGAGAAAGAAGTACAAGCGGTTGGCTTCCTCTTTAGCACTTGCAAAGAAGGGGTAAAGATAAAACGACTCAAGTCTCTTCCTCCTCCCTACCCTTTGGTCTTAAACAGGAAACAACCAATATAGTACATTCGACGTGTACAATCTAAATATCACAGAAACAACAACAGAACAACAACAATTTCCAACCTACAACATAAAACTACAATTAAATCCAGAAGCAAACAGGTCAGCAAGACTCGGTTACTACCAGCCAGTTCATTAGGTACTCTAATGAACATGAGAAGTACTACTTATCACCCCTTAACAACTACTTTCTTTGGTTAACATCTTGTATTTGTGAAGACGTAAACTGTATGGTAGGTCGAGAAGGGTGCAGGAAGATGAAATTTAACTATCCTACAGAAAATAAGATAACTGCTCCTTTTTCCTTGATCCTCCTTCCCCATATGACTCATTCCATTGTTTTAGCTCACTCATTATTGCTCCTCCAGCTGCAAAGCTAGCTGCAACCTGTTACACGAAAAGAAAAAAAGACCCAGTGTGATCAAAATGGGCTACAGTAGTAATCAAAGAGATTGTCCGCAGAAGTTGCAGTCACAAGTAAACTGTGAAACTGATTGAGTGAGTTCACCCAAGGTTAAAGGTCAAACTGATTGCTACAAATAGCTGAAGTTGTTCAATCTTTCTTAGTAGTATCCACACAACCAAAAATGGTGCATTTTGGTGTGAACTTGAATCTTGATACATGATGTTAGCAAACCACGATAATAGAGATATAGAGAAATTCCTTTAACCTGCTTTTTGGCTTCTTTGAAGTCTGCCATATTCAAAGGCCGGATAGTGATCACCTTATCCTCTTTATCTGCATCTGTAGATGGAGCAACTCCAGCTTTCTTAGCTTCCTCAGCTCTGCACTTCTTATCCTTCAGAAGTTGAAGGTTATTAATAAGAGGGACTACAGCAGTAATAGGATGAACAAGCAAATATCACTTAGTAATATGAACTGGAGAAGAAGGATATTTCACATACCAAGTCTTTGAGTCTTTCTTGCTGTATCAACTCTCTAACTGGCCGGTATGCAGCAGTAGTGCATAGATTCTGTCCCAAGCATTGCCAGACATTTGTTAGTAGGTGGGAATTTAAGATATATGGAAACCAGAATAAAGATATACAAACCTTGAGATCACTTCCAGAGTAACCTTCAGTCATTGTCCCCAGCTCCTTGAAGTCCATTCCGTCATCAACTCTCTCCTTGGCCAATAGAGTTTTCATGATCATTTCCCTGTTCTCTACTGATGGTAAACCAACCATAATTCTGTATTGAAGATAGGAGATCATTACTATTCCACATCAAGAACAGAAAGGGAATGTAGTGGTACTTAAATACTAGAAGTACTCTTGAAACGTTTCATAATAATCTAGGAGATATATCCTTCATATACTACTGGAATATATTGCCGCGATGTGATTCCTGTTCTTAACAAAGCTCAACTCTTTTATAGATGCCAATGGAAGCTGGAGTTCCCATAGACTGATAATCATCATACTTCAAGTTTAGGAAGAAAAATTACTGGCAGATCAGATATTACCTTCTCTCAAAACGCCTAATGATTGCTTCATCAAGGTCAAATGGCCTATTGGTAGCAGCAAGAACAAGAATTTTTTCACCTGCTTTTGTTAGTAACCCATCCCAATGAGTCATGAACTCATTCTTTATTTTCCGCATCGCTTCATGCTCCCCGGCTCTTGATCTCTGGCCAAGCATGCTATCAACCTCATCCACAAAGATAATAGTGGGAGAGACCTTAGCTGCTAGAGTGAACAAGGCACGGACATTTTTCTCATCTTCTCCAAACCATTTTGAAGTAATTGTGGACATAGACACATTTATGAAACTTGCTCCAGCTTCTCTTGCAATGGCCTTCGCCAACATAGTCTTTCCTGTGCCAGGAGGCCCAAATAGCAGTATTCCTCTGCATGGCTTCAAAAGGCCACCTTTGAAAAGGTCCGGTCTCCTTAGGGGCAACATCACCAACTCCTGAAGAGATTCTTTGAGTTCATCCAAGGCACCAATATCAGCAAATGTCACACCAATTTCATTTGCTGGTATGACTTCAGGCCTTATACGCTTCTCGAATTCATTGTCAGGAGGAACTTCCTGGTACAATCACATAAATCAATCTTCAATTGGAGTGGAATTATAAGAGAAACAAGGAATTGTGCCCCCATATTACAGTAAATTTAGTAAAATGAAGAGGCAAAGTAAATCACAGCAAATTTAATTGCTTAGAAGTATGAAGGATAATCTGCTCAGCTTGTAAGACTTATGGTTATAATGTTAGCGTGCTAGAAGGGTAAAGTTTTAATCAGTATATTCTCCCGCATTGACAAATATCAGATGTGCCTTGCATTTAGCACATATTAATAAGTATACCATGTATTCATCAAATCATTGATTTTTCAATATATAGTTTCTTCATTTATCTTCTGACAGAGCTGAACAATCAGAGTGGCAACTCACAGGAGTTTTGGGGGCTGGGGTTGTAATGTTTCCATCCATCACCGGTGGAGCCGGAGCTTCAGCTTCACCTTTGTTTTCTGGGAGGACACCTTCAGTTTTGGCTTCAGGTTTTGTAGTACTAATTTCTCGGCCTAGAGCATCCTACAACAAATGAAATGAACTTTAAAAAGATGATGAACTATTCCAAATTATGTTGACCTTCTCAAACCAAAACCAAATTATCCTACCTTCGATGTTTCAGCCTGTGCTTCGAGCTTTATGGTATCCTTCTGAGCAGATTTTCCTTCCTGAAATACGTCCAATCCATGGGACAAGCTGCGGTTTTCAAAGTCAGAAATTCAGTAAGATATTACACGTATCATCATACAAAAGTAAGAAAAAATAGACAAAAGAAGGACACCTTGAAGATGAGATAACAAGCTTCCCATTTCTGTATTCAGGGTCCTTTGTATTCATCAGATGGTACGAGATTGCGGATACCACAATTTCTTCTATATAGTTACTTAGGACCATGGTGTCCGACATACAAATTGAACCTAGATCTTCACATTCAATATCATTAGCAGAAAGTACTTCCATTATGTGATTTCTGTTGTCCTGAAACTGGATCATCTTCATATCCTCTTCTAGTTGAGACTTCCAACTAACAAGATGAGTTTCCTCTTCTGGGGGTTTGATTTCAAGGTTATAGGGAAATACTGAAGAAAGCCTTTCATCTATTTCCCTATAATCATTTCCAGGGTCCACAATTCTTGAACCCAGGATCAGAACAGCCCCAGATAATTTCTTCAGCATTTTCTGGAACAACACGTATATCTTTTCCGACCTACAAAGGATCTTCTCGACATCCCTGAGATACAGAACCATGGGACTGGTTTTTGATACTTTGACAATAATCTGTAAGTGGAATCAGCAATTTTAGTCCGACGAATATATTAGAGAAAGATCAGGCAATGACTATAATGGCCATTCTATACTTGATCATTCAGAGTTGATTATAAGCGAATATTTTGGGATGTATAGAACCCAAATGAATACCTTGTACAAGGTCTGTATAAGAAGCCTCTCATCAAAAGCCCAGCTACTGTTGCGCATAAGTGGAGCTGTGACAGAGAAGAGAATAATACACAATTTGAAGCTTAATCAGAATCTATAAATTCTATCTTCAAAAGAAAATCCTACAAACTCTTTCATGAAAGACCACATTTCTGTCTATCAGGTGGAAATCAGTCCAGTCTAGGCAGACCCTCAAAGGAAAATAATGAAGCACATTCAGTCACTGATCGACTACCAGCTGACAAGCCGGGTAGCATCTCTGCCTAGTTACTAGGTAAAAAAATACATACTTCAGAGTTCTTCAAAAGAATCTCATGTGTAAATGAAGACAAAAATACAGAATTATTCACTGTCTTATACTTTGAACCTAACAAAACTCGAACCCTCGTATTTCACCATTTAAACAAAAAAGTAGAAGATTCAAGCCAGCATTAAAAAGAGAGTTGTACCCCCCCACCACCACCACAACACACCACACGCACACACACCAAAAAAAGGGAAATAGAAAAAGGAGAAGGGCAGCGTAGTAGTACATATGATGAAATATTTGCTGTGTATAACACTATAACAGAATGCTTAGGCCACAATTCAAAGATCAAGGCAATTAAACTAAGTAAAGATTCAAGAAAAGCAATCTCATGGTTGATGCAAGTAAAAACCTAGATTCCCTGATGAGCCATATGAACTTATGTCATTCAAATTGGCTGAGGCAGATGCGTTCCTCCGCAAATTTGTAGCTATAAAAGATCCATCTCTGTAAACATATCAGGAAACAAGAATCAGACACATGACCAAGGAAAATAAGAAGACAAATAAGTGAGTAACATATTCATAGAATAAGAGAAAACTTATGTCATACTTTGATCCAATATCTACTCCACTGCTTTGCCTACGCAATGATCCTGCAGCAACATAATTACATACATTTGTAACAAAAAAAAGAAAATAAAGCATACAGTTTGGAGCATCAAGTTGCAAAACCTCGCAATGAAAATCTCCAACCAAAAACTAGAAGTTTCAATGTCAACAAAGTTAACAATACTCAAAAGTTGGAATTTTCAACCCATTTGGACATGCGGTTGAAAGAATCATTCAATGCTTCATATTTTTCTTCAAATTCCCTATGTTGTTCTACAATTTACATAACTTACTTCAGACTTGTTTAAAGAAAGAAGAAGCTTTACCTGGTAAAACCACGAAGTGGTCAAAATTCGTTAATGAAAATTTTGTAATCTTAGTTTATTTTGCATTAGCATTGCACAGAATCTTAGCTTCTCAGGAGACTTGGTTGTATTGGGTGAAAAAAAGAAGAAGAGGAGAACTTATAATCTAGTTTTTTGTATCTTCATTGCACAGAACTCCCAGCTTCATAGGAACTTGGTTTGTTTCTCTCTGTGGGTGATTTAGTTCATACCTTTGTTTTCCTCCTTAGACTGAAGCATGGAAAATGATCCAAACATTCCGGACATTCTCCCCACCGTTGTCTCCGATATAGATCTTTTAAAAGACTGCAATAATCAAAGTTATCAACAATCAATACATACTTTATCAATATCTTTATATAAGAAAAACAAATTCTGCAAAAAGTTTGATATGTTCTAGAGGAAAGTTGGCCATAGGACAAGTGAGAAGATATAGACTTTTGACTTACATATTCTTTGCATGTTCCTCCATATTTGCTTTGCATCTGTAGAAGAATGACCATCAGAATATTCAGAGATGGAGAAGGAAAGGTGAATGTAAGCTCTTTATTCACATACCTTCAGTGAAAAATCAGTTACATCCAGTAGCAACAACTTGGCATTAAAGTAATGAGCCAATGCCTTGGCGAGCATTTGTTGATAAAGTTCTGAAAAATATAAAACATACAGAAAATTAATGTGTAACAAATAGACAACTCAAGCCAAATCCAATCTATTGTATGCAAAGCCAAAAACTAACCAGCAGGCCCTGACAACAAAATTGTTCGACTAGCAGGGGAGAGGTTGCGAGTATGCTTAGCAAAGTCGGCATTTGTCAAATGAACAAAAGAAGCACTTGTCAGCAACACCCTTGTTTGCTCGCTGTCATATGTGATATAATTTTCAAAATCAGAAAGTTGCAGCACTCTACTATGTCAAGTTTTCAGATGTAAACGCTTCACTTTTTTTGAGCAGCAACTACAAAACTTATCATTTCCTAATTTAACATTAGCACAAGTTTTCATGGGAAAAAGAAACAGAGTTCATAATGATGAGGTTATTTATAGTTTTAGATCACATATTTCAAAATCTTTGCGTTTTTTCTTAAATTTTCTTGTCAAGTCAAACGGAACCGAAGAGAACTATATTGATTAACCTTCCAACAAATCCACACTCTCAACACACTCAAAACCAGAACAGAGTCTGCATCAATACATACTTATATTTTTCAGATATTGAACATTAAAGGGTATTAACATATACAAAACGAAATGAAACAGAGCATAGGAGAAAAGCTTCATGATTTTCCTTGTTATGGTTTACCTTAGGTAGTATGGAAACTCATCAAAGGTGACTTTACTATCCTTGCCATTGGCTATGAGATTAAGCATCTCTTGCTCCATAATCAACGGCGTAATAACATTCGCAGCGGATCCACTAGCCCATCTACTAACCGTCTGCCCTGAAGCCAATCCAATTCCAACACCAACACCTATTCCCACACCCAAAGCTGACAACAACATATTCTTCTGTTCCATTGTTTAGACTCAAAATAAACTTTCTCAAATATCCGAAATCGCAAAACAGAGCACGTCAAAGCACCGCCAACAGAACAACTCAAAAATCACGATATCTCTATGGATGAGAAACAGAGAATCTAAATTAAACTCAGATTTGAACCCGAAAGTGCTTAAAATCGTTAAAACTTCACCGTCACCTTTGGTAAAACACACAGAAATTCAAATTTTTGGAATTTTCTAAAACTTATCTCAATCAAAAATAGATCAGTATCCTCCTCGAAGATCATTCAGATTCCGAAAACAAAACGCGTCACAATAATCACCTTTTCTCGCACTCTGTATTTTTAAATTTTTTTTTTTACGTTCGTGCAGTCTGTTCACACTGCATATAAAGTGTTTTCCTTCATAAAAATCTCCTGTTCATCCCTGAATCGTACTCCTACTACCGCCTTTGCTTTTTTCTTGTTTCCAGAAAAATAAATAAAATTGATCGTTTTTACGTAGTTTCTAATGCGAATGGATCTCGAAAACCTGAGAAACACCGTATATGTATATGTTTATTGATGATAAGGAAGAAATGAGAAGCGGTGGTTCACGGCGAAGAAGCGGTTGTTCACGGCGGCGAAGAAATGAGAAAGGAGAGGAGAAAGGTGGTTAGAGTGTGTATTACACAGTTGCCGCTTTTTCAGGCTTCGGGTAATTACAACTTTATTAGTTAGTATTAAAATTAAAAAGAAAAAGAAAAAGAAAACTAACTGATGGGGTCCACTATGGATTGCTGACGTGTGAGTATTTGTAGATAAATTGAAGGCAGAAATCCTCTACGATTAACACCGTACATACATACTTTTTCCTAAACAATTCTATGTATCTTCTCCTAACTTTTCTACCTATTTGTTTACCGTTAAAAAAACTACTACAATTTATGTTAATGGAAATTAGATTGACCCTAATAATAAAATATAATAATAAAAAATAAGCAATCGCGCACTTCATGATAGTAACCAAAGAACTAAAGAATAGTGAGTTTCCAAGGCTTAACGGGTCGCTAGTGTATTGATCGAACCTCTTAATCCGATCCCAATTTACGTGGCACCGTTACAATCTAATATTATACAAATAAATGAAACTGATTTTCTACATCTGGATGGAAAGAGTGGGTAACAGGTGATTACAATAGGGATACGATACAGAGAACCAATTGAGATTATTGTGGGCTTTATTGAATAAGGCAGAGAGCGCAGTACTATGCAACAAAATTAAATTCAACTGGGCCTGATAATGCCGAAATACTTAGCCAATCAAATTTCAGTTAACAAAATTATTTTTACAGAAACAGCCCTTATATTTATACCAAAATGACTTCATTAACCCTTATCTTTTTATATTAAAAGTAATATACGTATTGAAGCAAGTGGAAAAAATATCTCTATTTTTGGAAAGTATTCGTTGAACCTAGGACAACTTTATGGAATCAGGTAGATAGCATGTCGTGGCGGAATCAAAATTTTAAGTAAGGAGTTTAAAATCCGACTAAGTAATTACACAAATTAATTAAAGGGGATCGACATTTATTATATATATCTAAAATTAATTTTAACTATATATAAATAATAATATTTTCGGAGAGGTTCAGATGAACCTTCTAACAATATATTGGCGCCACCCCTGGCTATATGCATGGAGTATTCGTAAAATGTGACGTAGATAGTTTATATAACTTATTGATCATAAAATTTTATCATTGCGTTAAAGTTTTTTTTTTTTAGAGAAACAACTAAATATTTGTTTTCTTAAATGAAAAAGAAAAAAAATTTGTAAATCCTTTTGCCTTTTGAGAAAGTTCTTTTTCTATTTTATTTTGTAGAGAATAAAATTCTTGAGAATCAATAAAATCGTACTTGATTATCGTTTCAAGTTAGTTCTTGTAGGCTACTTGCTCTAGTGTGATAAATGTACAACTCATTTGATGATAGTTACTCAATTTTTACTTAAAATTTTCGCTCTAGAAATTAAATTCGAACTAGCTAATTCAATCAATAGATTTTAAATATCAAAAAATTAAATGAAAAATATTCTTTGAGAATTGAAAATAATTGTAGAAGGGATTGGGGAAACACAGAGATGGGAAACATTGGGACTTGATTTTCTATTTAAGTAGTGTTATTATAAGTATTTTTTAAAAATAAGACAGGATTTTCTATTAAATTCACTATTGATATATTGCAAGTTGTAGGGATTGGTGACAACAAACCTGTTCAAGTCACAAAATGCAAAACAACATATATAACCTTGCATATACTAATCAAATGATTTGTTAGATTCTACGATATTTTTCCATTACTTCTTTATTTTCACTATTTCAAACAATGTAGAAATAAGATTTGTGTACACTTTATCCTCCTCAAATCATCGTGTCTTATCTCAGACTGGGAGACAATAATGATTACACTTGGTACGACTTCCATATTCACATAAAAAAATCTCTTCAATCACAAATCACTTTCATGTCTTTATTCCTTGTAATTCTGTTCATTTTCTTGTATTTGTTGAGCCTAACTTATTTTTCTTTTGTAGATATTTTTTTTAAACTTGGATACAATTATCAAAATATGCTAACTTTAACCAACAAGTCAGGATGGCCGAGTGGTCTAAGGCGCCAGACTCAAGTTCTGGTCTTCGTAAGAGGGCGTGGGTTCAAATCCCACTTCTGACAAATGTTTTATTTTTATTTTTTACCACAATTATAAAAAATTCCAAAAATTCTTTGTTCAATCAACTCGATCACTAGTCCCAATTCTCTATGTAATTGACAAGTAGAGGGACACCTCAAATACTAGTAGTAATTTATTTACGATATTTATCACTTGTCATATTAGCCAAACTTGAGAGTCACCAAATTTGGCTTGTGAGATGTGACCAAGTGGCCTATGGTCCTGTTAATAATTTACACCTAAGGTTGTACGTGTCACCTTTACTTTTAATACCATTAAAGTACCTTGTATTGCTGTCTCCATAAATTAAATTTGTCTGTTTTCCATTGGTAAACTTAGAATTAACTTGTCAGCTGTAAATAAAGACATGACACAGCCCACAATATTATTATTAGTCATTCCTCGACGGCTGCGTATTAGGATAGAAGGTTAATAGCTAATCGAGTTTTGTCTTGCCTTTTCGAGAGTTCAGGTTTAGGGATTTTGTCGTTGTATTAACGATGTTATTATGTTATGTATTGTGTTTCGATTATAATAGTAATATTTTATTGTTCTTGATCCTTTCGATATCCATGCTTTTTCTATTGTTTTCTTCTTTTTTTTGTACTGGAATTTGCTGCACTTAAACCAAGGATTTCCTGGGATTAACTTCTTTATCTTCACGTGATAGTGATAAAATCTTTGCACACTCTATCCTTACCAAACCTCACTAATGAAATTTCACTGAATATGTTATTAACCACTCAATCAACCAAATAGTGGCTTTAAAAAACAACATATTTTATGAGTTTCTGGCATTGGAGGACATGAATTGCAGGTCAAATTACAAGAAAAGACAGATATTTTAGCTAATTATTAGACAATTTACTTTATTACAAACTTCGTGTGAGGAAAATAGTTTTCATTTTACATGTCATGAGAAGTTCCTTTCGTTTCGCTTAGCCTTTATTCCATTATGATGGTATTTTAGTGATAGGTTCTATAGAAACTGAACGATCTTAACACTGATCTCATCCACTTGAAAAGATCGTGTAAAAATTGATAATTTGACTTACTAATAGACTTGTTAGTTCTGCAACTCGAAAATAATTTAATTAAAGGAAAGATAGAGGGGAGAATGTGCACTGAGAGATTCAAATAAATTATTCATTGAATGAAGTTGTATTTTTATTTCATTAAATCTAAGAATACAAAGCCATTCCACAGACTATGCAAGAGGATGGATGGCAATAAATTTCTTGAACGTCCATATATTACACCCATTACAACTCCTAGAAAAATTAGTGGTAACATCCTTTGTACATTAAAATGTGCTAAAGCAAAGGCAATTGAACTCATAAGAATTGAACACCATACAGGCATGTATTTTGTCAATGAAGGGAGAAGGAATCCCCTAAATACAATCTCCTCCCAGAGAGGGGCACATACGACAAGTACCAACGCGTACAACGCCATTGCCACTGGATCACGTGCTAATATAGACTGCTCGACACTAGAGAGTGTTAAGGGAGTTGAAGGGAGAACAGGCAACAGGTCGAGATTGAACTGTGATAGCCGGTTCACTAATGGGAACATGAGACATCCAAGAAGAACGTCGAATAACCAGTTACCTTTTAGGCTAAACTTGAACCAGTCTGATGGAAGGGGACGAAAACGGGATAGACAGCGTTGAAGAATTAGAATTCCAGCAAGACCCTCAGTTACATCGGTTAAAAGGCTGAATAAAGCCTGCCCTCTGAATGTGAGTGATTCTTTGCTGATACCGACCATATACGCTCCAAAAGGAATCATCCAAGAACCTATGAACCAAAATGAGACGATCCAAAGAAGCATAACCTGCACGACCACAGTTCTGGTTACCATGTGACACACATAACATAGAAAAGTCGAAAACTAACAACAGGTATATGTTCATCTAAGAGATTAGAACTCTTTGACGACAAGAATACAAAAGAGAGGGTGAAGGGGGAGAAAAAGTGGAATTCAGGACAAAACACATCAAGGCAGATACCACTTCCAATTTTAGTTGAAAAAAAAAAATCACGAGGAAATTTGGAAACACAGGAGCATAATGAATCTAGAAATGGACCATGTAAATATAAGCAAGAAGTACCCAAGAGTAAAGATAATCTGATAAATGGTTGAAGGCAAGAGAAGTAGAAAAAGCTAAGGAAGCACAATGTTTCTCATATAAACACTTACGCCATGATGAGCAATAACTGGAGGTGTAAAAAACTATGTCGAGCTTAAGAAATACAGCGATAACAAGGTCGGAAAACATAAATTTGTAGTAGAACTAGGTAACTTACAAGAGGGAAAGAAGCATTTCACAAGTTTCATGACTAGAAACACTCCTTAAGACCTACACACCAAAGCCTATGCAGAAACTGGAAAACTACTCGAAACTGTTTTTAAATCATAAATATTTGTGATTTTCTTTTTTTTCTTTTCCTTGTATACAAGTGCAAGTATCATAAGTATGGCTGCCACGGAGATAATCTCCTGACACATAATTGAATAAGGTAACCTCTTTCTTCCCCATTTTGGAGAGATATGTTAATACATAGTAACTTAACAAATGAACAAACTATATTCTGACTCGGGAATGATCAGAAAAAATTGTATAGCGATTCTTAGTTAGGCCTCATTGTTAAGGAGGATTACCCCTTACCTGAAGGATGGTCTCAGCTGTCCATGGGACTGTCCATGGTTTTCCGATCACCTTAAATACTACATCTGCAGCCTGAAAAACATAAAGCTCTCGTTAAACTTGAGAAACATTTGTTTCAAGTACTTAATCATCTAAGTTAGTAATTAACAAATACTCATCAAAGAAGAGTTTTCCTGCAGCAATGAGCCTAGAATGTATCATAGTTCTTGTTCTTGAAGGTCCTAGTGTCCGAGTTAACTAATGTACACACAGATTCAAACACTCTAGTGAACATGTCTGACACACATTGGGCAGTGCACTTTTGGCAAATTATTTTTCC